GCTTTGTTTGTAGTGATGCTTCCTAAGGCCCACTTGACTTCACATTCCAGGATATCTGGCTCTAGGTGAGTTATCACACCATTGTGATTATCTGGGTCATGAAGATCTTTTTTGTATAGTTCTTCTGTGTATTCTTGCCACCTCTTCTTAATACTGTCTGCTTCCGTTAGGGCCATACCATTTCTGTCCTTTATTGATCCCATCTTTGCATGAAATGTTCCCTTGGTATCTCTAGTTTTCTTGAGGAGCTCTCTAGTCTTTCCCATTCTATTGTTTTCCTCTATTTCTTTGCACTGATCAGTGAGGAAGGCTTTCTTATCTCTCCTTGCTATTGTTTGGAACTCTGCATTCAAATGGGTTTCTTTCCTTTTCTCCTTTGCTTTTCGCTCCTCTTCTTTTCACAGCTATTTGTAAGGTCTCCTTAAACAGCCATTTTACTTTTTTGCATTTCTTTTCCTTGGAGATGGTCTTAATCCCTGTCTCCTATACAATGTCACGAACCTTTGTCCACAGTTTATCAGGCACTCTGTCTATCAGATCTATTCCTTACTTCCACAGTATAATCGTAAGGGATTTGATTTAGGTCATACCTGAATGGTCTGGTGGTTTTCCCTACTTTCTTCAATTTAAGTTATCTCATTAAATCCTCTCAACAACTCTATGAGATGGGTAATATTGTTACGTTCTATTTTATAGACGGAGAAATTCAGACTCAGAGTTAAAGTAACTTGCCTAAAGTGACATGCTGTGCTTAGTCGCTCAGTTGTGTCCAACTCTTTCCGACCCCGTGGATTAGCCCTTCAGGCTCCTCCATCCATAGGGATTCTCCAGGCAGGAATTCTGGGGTGGGTTGTCATGCCCTCCTCCAGGGGAGCTTCCCAGCCCAGGGACTGAACCCAGGTCTCCCACATTGCAGGCAGATTTTTACTGCCTGAGCCCCCAGGGAAGTCCAAGAATACTAGAGTGGGTAGCCTATCCCTTCTCTAGGCGATCTTCCCTACCATAACTAAAATATATTAGAACTGGTATTCAAACCCAGGACCCTATTTAGACCCTCTGCCCTGACCCATATGCAGAGTATGGTCCTGGGGATGAAGTTCTGGGTCTGCCATGTAGCTTTAATACTAAACATTAGCATAAGCGTCACTAAGTCATTTCACTTCTCTGGACCTCAATTTCCTCCTCTTGACCTGCCTGTCTCCCTTGGCTGTTCTGGGAACCAAATGGAAAAATGTCAGTAAAAGCTGCCCCATTGGTTGTAAAGTTCTGGAACCCATGAGAGCTATTAACAATGTTGTTCTCACTATTGGCAAATCTCAGAGTTAAATCCCATCCCAACATAAACTCTAGGAGGGGCCAAGAAGTCAATCCTGGGCAAATAAGAAGTCAATCCCTGCCTCGAGGGAGAGTACTCCAGCAGGCCTGGCTGAAAGGGAGGGTTAGGGGTTTAATTAGCCACAGTCCATCTGCTACCAGGCTCTTCTCTGCCAGCCAGGTTGGAAGACACATAGGGGACACCACGAGAGGCATCAAGGTAGACAGGACTTGGCAGGTGAGTGAGCTGGGAGTGATGTGCCAGAGCTCAGCAAAGACCAGAGTGTGGAGACAGGGCAAGGATGTGGGAAGGGGGGATAGAACTGGGACCAGGGATCAGGAAGACTGGTTGGATGTGCACAACAAGGAGGCAGCCAGGAGCCAGGTCTGCTGTGTGTGGGGGGGGGGGGGGGTGCTGTGGGAGCTTGGACCACATACCCTGCAGCTCTGTGTGCTCAGAGGTGGGATTCAAATTGTCCTGGTCAAGGCCTTCCATGGGAAGGCGAGGCTGATGGCAGCAGTAGCATTGGAGACACTAGCCCACTTGGGGTTTATAGTTGTTCCAGGTTCTTGAGTAGCATTGCTTAAGCATTCTCTCTGCAGGACTCAGCAACCCCAGGGGGTCACTGATGAAGGAAATGAGCTGCAGTTAGGAGCTGGGATGGGAATCTGGTCCTTTCTGACTCACAGTGCACACACTTAACCACTAAGTTCCTCAGGACATGCTGCAGATAAAGCCCCTGGCTGGCAGCAGGTGCTCACTAGCTGGGAGAGCCCTCACCCTCGCCCTCTCCCTTTGGGTCATGGACCATGTGACATGTGCTCTGCCAGACACAGAGCGGACCCTTGGAAAAGGATTCATCAGATTAGAAATCCCTCCGAGTTCTTTTCCCCTAAACCCATCACTACACAGATGAGAAAACCAAGTGCTGGAGGATAGAGGGAATGAAAAGTTTCCGCCAAATTGAGAAGGCATTCTGAGACTGTAAAATGAGGCAGGCAGCTCCATATGATCAATGGATCTTTTTTATAGGGTAACTTACAAGGTGGTTTTATTATAGGGTAACATCAGGATCAAGTGGACAACAATCTGGAAGAATTCATAGCTGCACTATGCACCATGGAGGGGCCACTGGGACAATTTTATAGTTAATCTAGGGCATGGGGGTAAGTGCTTGGAGACAGGATATGCATTCCTAAATCAAGATTAATGACTGGATGACTGGTCTCGTGAGAGCCGGGAGTACATCACAGAAGATTTTCAGCATTGTTTGGGGACTAACAGCATAGAGGCCACATGACCCTAATTATTAAGCAATATTTGTTAACTACAAAGCCCTTGATAACAGAGAAGTGGTTTACTGCACAGTACAATCCTGGTTAGGGTCAGTGGAAGGACAGGAGACACTGAAAGGGGCCAAGATGGTGTCGGTTTTGCTAACAGCCGTACACCAGAGTCACAAGAAGTGAGTGGCAGAGCTGGTCCAGGAGCCAGGACTTCTGGTTGCTAAAGGCAGGGTTCTTCTACAGCAGGCTGACTCCAGAATGACCTGTGCTCTTACCCCTCACCAACCATTGCCTTAAACAAGGGTCTTGTTCCATATGCTGAAGGGAACAACTACTCCCTGGCAAGGTTGGATGATGGGAGAAGATGACGCACATGAAGCAAAGCATCAGGTTGGATCCTTGGTGATTCTCTATCCTTCCCTGTCCCCACCTGCACTGTAACATTCTCCTAGACAATCTCAACAAAGGAGGACCTGCTGGGGCAAGTTCTGTGTCTTGGGAAATAGTACCTATTAGGTCCTGGTGGCTCAGTGGTAAAGAATTCGCCCTCAATGCAGGAGATGCAGGTTCGATTCCTGGATCAGGAAGATCTCCTGGAGAAGGAAATGGCAAGCCACTCCAGTATTCTTGGGCTTCACTTGTGGGTCAGCTGGTAAAGAATTCGCCCTCAATGAAGGAGACCCAAGTTCGATTCCTGGATCAGGAAGATCTCCTGGAGAAGGAAATGGCAAGCCACTCCAGTATTCTTGCCTGGGAAATCCCACAAATGGAGGAACCGGGCGGGCTACAGACCACGCGGTCACAAAGAGTCGGACAAGACTAAGCGATTAAGAACAGCAACAAAAGACCCTAAGCACAGGACTGCATCCCTCAGATGTGGTGCACAATCCAAAACAAAATGAGAACCTAACGTGTAAAATAGTGTAAGAAAGTCCAGCTAACTCTAGATATTTCCTAAGATCACCAGCTGAATTGTGCTTTGAAAGATTAAGTGTCAAATTCTTTCCAAAAGTATTCTTGGTGCCCCTGCTTGGCTGGTGACCCAGCATATGCCTAGTCTGCCTGTTGGAGAGTCCAGCACCAGTTGGTGTGAAAAACCACATGCCACCTCTCCTTTGGGGGTCTCAGCGTCCCTCTCTCCATCTGCAAGGGGGAAGGGAACTTGACCTGATGGCTCCCGTAGGGCGCCTCTGGCTTCGGCTCCCTGCCTTTCTGCCCCTCCAATTCCCTGCTCTGCCTTACCCAGGGCCAGCAGCCAGAATTGAGCAGAAATGTCCAGGGCAGTGCAATCTACATTCCTTCAGGTGTGAAAAAAACCTGGTGACTATACTTGTTGGACCAGGGTTCTGGTTAACTGAGAGTGAACCCTTTAATGTGGAGACAGTCAGGTCAGTCTCTTGCCAGGTCCTTGGTGTGACCTCTGAGATTCTCTTTCCAGGAGCACACACACAGGACAGCTGTCCCTCCCTTGCTCATTTTGGACAATGCAGTTGCCAGTCCTCACTTCCAAATCCAGAAGCCAGGCTGTACAATCCAAATCCATCACAGAGCAAACTAGTGGATTTTTAACAGGTGGGCAAGACGTGTTGGAATTGAAGATATAAAAAAACTTTTTGTTCCAGTCTGACATTCTATGATTGTAGGACATGAGAGGTGTTTGTAGCTGTTTATTTTAGAAGAGAAAGTAAGTAGCTGTTGTTCCTAAGAATTTCAAGGAAAGTTGCTTGATGACATCAATAGAGTTCAAAAAGCAGTGATAGAGTTGTAAACATAAAACTACCTGGACCGCTCATTAGAGGCTCATCCTGAAGTAGGGATGAGCCAAAATTGCCTCAGCAGTCCCTGAATTGACCCCAGCACACATTTAACGAACAACCTACGGTATGAGGTTTTTTGTATTTGGGCAGCTACAGTTTTCAGTTCTCTGGGTCCTTCCTATCTCTCATGACAGCTCCTTGTGTCTTCTCAGCTGGTATTTGGAAGAGCCCACAGCACAATTGGCAACAAAGAGCTAAACACAACACTGGCTGGTTAGTGGCAGCCAGGAGGAAGGATGTTGACAGACCCTAAAGGAGGAGAAGATGCCTCGTCAGCTTGGGCTGCATCAGGAAGAGGGCAGTCCCTCTGAAGGCATGGGTCCTTCCCATCACTGAAACATGAGTGAGAGAGCACCCAGAGGACTTGGCAGGGAGAGAAATCAGCAGAGTTGCTGAACCCGGAAAATGAAAGGGGAGCCCGTCTCTGGGTAATGAGTAGCCTGGGCAAGCAGCATGCTGCAGAAAATATTGGAAAAATCAGCTCTTTCTAGTGATGTGGTAGAGTGATGTCACTTAGTAGAACTTGAAACAAGAGCAAAAGAAGAAGCAATGACATAGGAATCTTAAGCAATCATCTAAGATCTGATGCTCAAAAGATACTGTGGGACGTGGAGCAGAGAAGGAACAGAAGCTCTTTCAAGGCACTTATCATAGCTATAACTAATCATTAACCAAGTGATTGGCTTTTTAAAAAATATTTATTTATTAGTTTGGCTCTTCTGGGTCTCAGTTGCCACATAGGGAATCTTCATCTCAGTATGTGGGATCTAATCCCCTGACCAGGGATTGAATTCAGGCCCTCTGCATTAGGAGTACAGAATCTTAACCACTGGACCACCAGGGAAATCCTATGTGGTTTGCTTTTAAACCCACCATCCTTTTACTAGAATTTAAGCCTTGTAAAGGCAGGGACCTTATGTGCCTTATTTACCTTCTCACAGCCTTGTGCATTGTAGGTACTTACTAAATACATTATGGAAGACAGAGAGTAAATTGTGGGTTAAGATGGAAGAATGATAGCCCCAGTCCTTTAAACTCAGTCAGAAATTATTTGGATTGCAATCATTGTACAGTGAGCTATACAGAATTCTCCTTCCAAACTTCTGTTTTATCTAGTTTCCAGATGCTCTGACTGCCTGTCACCCTGGTATATATCTCTCTCCCACCATGTATGCCTCAGCCTGTAATGGGTCAAAAGACTCTTCATCCATCTTCTACCTGGTGGGCATCCCCTCTCTACAAGATGTCTTCTTCCTCCCTGTCTTCTTCACCTTCTTATCCTTTTACCTGCTTATCCTGGTGGGTAATTCCCTGATCCTGGTGGCCGTGGTGATAGAGCCTAGACTCCATAAACCCATGTACTTCTTCCTGATCAACCTCTCAGCCCTGGACATCCTCTCCACTACAACCACTCTTCCAAAGATGCTATCCCTCCTCTTACTTGGGGACCACTACCTCAGTTTCTCTGCCTGCTTCCTGCAGATGTACCTTTTCCATGGCCTTAACTGCTCTGAAGCCTTCATCCTGGTGGTCATGGCCTATGACCGCTATGTGGCTATCTGCCGCCCACTGCACTACCCTGTGCTCATGACCCCACAGACCAATGCTGCCCTGGCAGCCAGTGCCTGGCTCATCGCCCTCTTTCTGCCCATCCCAGCAGTGGTGCAGACCTCGCACACGACTTTTGAAAACATCGCTCACATTTACCACTGCTTCTGTGACCACTTAGCTGTGGTCCAGGCCTCCTGCTCTGACACCACACCCCAGACCTTCATGGGCTTCTGCATCGCCATGGTGGTGTCCTTCCTGCCCCTTCTCCTGGTGCTTCTCTCCTATGCCCACATCCTGGCCTCAGTGCTTCGCATCAGCTCCCGAGAAGGACGGTCCAAAGCCTTCTCCACCTGCAGCTCCCACCTCCTGGTGGTTGGCACTTACTACTCATCCATTGCCATAGCCTACGTGGCCTACAGGGCTGACCTGCCTCTTGACTTCCACATCATGGGCAATGTGGTGTATGCTATTCTCACACCTGTCCTCAACCCTCTCATCTACACACTGAGGAATACGGATGTCAAGACAGCCATCACCAAAATGGCATGTCCCTGGAACCCAAATAATTCTGCAAAACCCTGATTGATTGTGAACTTTATTTTCTCACAAACACCAATAACAATAGAGGTAAAATTGGACAATTCAGATAGCCAAATAATTAGAACAATAATTCTTAAAATACAGTCCTAGGTATTCTTCCATTGTAACAAAATAATGATTTTCTTCCCATAATTCACAGACAAAATGGATTGGGCTTTTCAATTTTTAAGCTGTGACTCCCAAATTTCACAAGATTTGTGGTCACATTTCCATTAATTCAAACAATTTTGATTCTCAGAGACTGAAGTATTTGACTAGAAAGAAATTCAGTTTTTTCCCTTGTNGAACACATGTAAATCCATGGCTGATTCATGTCAATGTATGGCAAAAACCACTACAATATTGTAAAGTAATTAGCTTTCAACTAATAAAAATAAATGAAAAAAAACAATAAAATCTATTTGATAAATTTAAAAAAATAATAAATAAATAAAAACACTTTCTTGGTCAAAAAAAAAATTAATCTCAACCTAAATAGGAAAGGTAGAACTATACAACTGTGTAGGAGACTATAGTCCTGATCTTGGAGAAGGAAAGTATTTCTTAAGTAAGATTTTTAATACTCTAAATGTAGAGAAAAAAAACATAAATTTGACTGCCTTAAAATATAATATTTCTATTCATCCAAAAGCACCAAAAAGAGATTGGAAAGCCAGGCTACAGAACAAAAGAAGTTATTTCTTATGTATATTACCAACAAAAAGACTCAAGATTCATAACCAGGATATACAGAAAATCAAATCAATTTTTTAAACAGGTAGTCAAGCCATTAAAAAAAATACTACTAGAGCAAAATACTGCACAAAAGGGAATAAACAAATGTCCAATAAATATAAGAAAATGTGCTCAAGCTCTTTAGTAATAGAAGTGTAAATTACAACAGCAAATAGTTACCACTAGAAACCAATCAGACTGGTTAAAATGCCAAAGTCTGATGATACCCGGGTTGGCTAGGATGTGGATGGATAGAGCTCTCATACACGGAGAGTGGGAATGCTAATTGGTACAGCCATTTTGGAAAATACTTTATCATTCTCTTATGATGTTGAAGACACACATATTCTATGATCTAGCAACAGCAGCATTTCCCCAATTTGTGAAATGTTCCTAAAATGTAACACTATATGCCAATAAAATATGAAGGAATTATGTATATGTGCAACAACCTAGAATAATCTCACAGTACTGAAAGAATCACAACTCAAAAGGACACATGTGATAATGATTTCAGTTGTATAAAGCTTAAAGACAGGCAAAGCTAAATACATTTTTTATTAATGCATACAGATGTCATTAACTATGAAGAAAAGAGAAGGCATATTTATTACAAACATCAAAATCATGGTTATTTCTGCAGGATAAGGAGAGGGTTGTTCTCAGAGATGGCTGGCAAGGGGCTTATGAGGTGTTGTCAATGTTTCATTCTCTGCTAAGTGATGGTGACATGAATATTTTCTTTACAATTAAACTATATATTTAGGCTTTATACAGTTCTGCTCTGTATAAATATTGTATCTCATTATAACCTCTGACAAGGCATCATTCCATTGGGCAGAGTTTCCGATAGTAGTTCTCAATGTTTGGTCGATGTCTTCCCATGGGTTCAATGGATGTTGGTGGTTTTCACATTCATGGTAAGCATCAAGCTGCTGAATATAATTTTCTTCACTTGTCCATTCATTTAAGAAGTCTTTTCTGAGCATCTGGGAAGTAGTAATCTATATAGTGGGCTTCCCAGGTGGTGCTAGTGGTAAAGAATCTTCCTGCCAACGCAGGAGACATAAGAGATGTGGGTTCAGTCTTTGGGTTGACAAGATCCCTTGTAGCAGGGCATGGCAACCCACTCCAGTATTCTTGCCTGAAGAATCCCAAGGACAGAGGAGCCTTGTGGGCTACAGTCCATAGGGTCACAAAGAATGGGACACAACTGAAGTGACTTAGCATGCATGCACACCCACACAATCTATACTGTTAAAGCTGAGACAGGTAATTCGGGACCATCACCACCCTCAATTCACTCACAGTCTGGTGAGGAAGACACATGGGTGGAAAAAGTGTAGTGAGGTAGATGGTGTTTCAGAGGGAGGGACAAGGGGCAGCAGGAACACAGGGTAATATGTAATCCAAGATATTAATAAAAACATCTTCCATAAATACCGTTAACCTATGCACCTATTTCTGTTTGTCTGGGAGTCCTCATGGAGTTAATACCACGATGGATGTGAACTGATTGAATGGAAACCCTAAACTGCTCCCATTGGAGAAGGAGAGATTTCACTCTAGTGCTGACCAGGGAACATGGCTTCCATTCCTGGCCCAGGAAGATCCCACATGCCCCAGAGCAAACATGCAACTACTGAAGCCCATGAGCCTGAAGCTAGAGCTCCGCAACAAGAGAAGCCATGACAAGGAGAAGCCTGGGCACCGTAACCAAGAGTAGCCCCTGCTCTCTGCAACTAGAGAAAGCCGGGAGTGAGAAGCAACAAAGATCCAGCACAGCCAAAAAAAGAGAAAGCAATGGAGTTAACACTCAATTAAACCCGAAGGATTTTAACACCCAATCCCTTCAGGAATAACACAAGTCAAAAAGGGATCAGAATGTAGTTCTCTACACTGCTGGGCTCCCCCCAACTCCCAGCAAAACAGGCAGGAAGGAAAAAACATTCTCAGAATAGTGAATGGAGCAGGCAATGACAGTTTCATGGCATGGGTTAAAGAGAAGAACATTTTCCTTAGCAAATTGTGATAAAGGTGGAGCACTTAAATGGAACTTAAAGCAAGGGCATTAGCAGAGAGTGAGAATTCCAGTAAAGAACAATGAGTGTCTTCATACCTGACTTTAAAAAAAAAATTATATCAGTTTTTGGCCATACTGCACAGCATGTGGAATCTTTGTTCCCCAACCTGGGATTGAACCCGTGCCCCCTCACAGTGGTAGCAAGGAGTCCTAGTCACTAGACTGCCAGGGAAGTCCCCACGCTGCTGCTAAGTCACTCAGTCGTGTCCGACTCTTAGCGACCCCATGGACTGCAGCCCACCAGGCTCCTCTGTCCATGGGATTTTCCAGGCAAGAGTACTGGAGTGGGGTGCCATTGCCTTCTCCAATGTCCCCATACCCGATTCTAAAGTCACAAATACAACAATTCTAAGTCGAAATTATGAAACAAGTAATTTTTTAGTGAATTCTAGCCTCCATTTCTGCTCCCTTCACCTGCTGCATCCCCCTTAAAGAAACAATTTTTATTCATTTTTTGTTTTTTTCCTTTCTATTTTTATATAAGCAAAACCATATATTTACAAACATATGCATAATAAATAAACATGACTATATTATTTTAAAATATGGCAATTTTGGTCATATTTCCACTCTGTCTTAGAGGAATGGTAGCATATTATAGTACTGTTAAGGATCCTGATTTTTAAAATTTAATCAGACTTGTGGTTGCCAAGGGAGAGAGGTGGAGAGGGATGGACTGGGAGTTTGGGGTTGGTGGATGCAAACTATTATGTTTGGAATAGATAAACAAGGTCCTAAAGTATAGCACAGGGAACTGTATTCAATATCTTGTGATAAATCATAATGGAAAAGAATATTTTTTTAAAAATTTGTATAAAAATATGTGTATATTGCTGCAAGTTTGTTATAAATAATTTTATGCATAGTATTCATTCAAAGAACACTGTTATTACAGATTAAATATTTAGAGAGTAACATACTAATGTAACTGAAAAATACCTTGATCTAATACACTGAATTATTTTGTATTTTGTATTTACTATTTTCTACTGAATTTGCTTTCACTCTTTAAAGAAATATTAATTACGTCTTATAAATACTGAACTTTGTTTTCCTCCTAATGAACATATTTTGTCATATACCGTCCTTTTCTTACCCCCTAAAATCACAGTCTACCTGTATTTTAAACTTTTTCGAATCCTAAAAAATAAAAATTTCATCAGTAGTTTGAGATGGGAGTTAAAACAGCATATTTGTACACTGATGGAAATAATCCAGGAGAGAGTAAGAAAATTGGTGATAGGAGGCAGAAGGGAACATTATTGAAAGGACTGGTTTCAGACAGGAGCATGAAAAGTTCATGGGAACAAATCAACTTCTTAGGCAGGTGTGGGCACCGATGCTGGTAGGTGAGTGAAGATGTGGTGGAACTCTGTGGGACTTCTCTCCTTATCCGCTGTAGTGACAATGGGAATAGGTATCCATGAACTGAGAAGAGAAGGAATGAAAAAGACATGTAGAAGAGAAGACAAGGGAACAAAGCAGGGACATATAAGATGACTGCCTGCCAGTGTTAAGGTCCTATTTGAGTTAGGTTTATAGCCAACAGACCTTCTTACATTAAACTCAGATAAGTTGTACTTACATCAGGAAAATACTTCCTGAAAATCAATTTCATTTTAACCTAAAAGTGTAGTGCTCATCCTGAGTCATAGGGTACACAACTAATAGTCCTAATGTTACTGATTCTTCCCAGTGGAGACTTAAAAAAAAACAGACCCAAAACAACTAAGCATTGGAGTAATCACATAAGCCAAGCTGTATTACAGGCAGAGATGATCGGATTTTTAAAAAGTAATCTGTCCTCACAAATGGCTACCTAAGCTTCTTCTCAGAAAAATCAGATCTGTCAGCTAAATGACACAAGCTGTCATGTATTAAGTATGTATATCATGAGCCTACTATGTATTATATTTCATATTTCAATGCTACTCAATGTTACTTGGAGAGGAGGGAAGAGAAATATTAAAAAATAATTTAAAAAATGATTCTAAGATTTCAAAAGCTAGTTTAAAATACGTTTAAACTTAATTAGAATGTTGAGTTCTAAAGCTGACTTTACTTATCACTTATGCAAAGTGAAAATTCTTTCTTGAAAGCTAAAGTTGCTCAGTCATGTCCAATTCTTTGTGACTCCATGGACTGTAGCCTGCCAGGCTCCTTTGTCTGTGGAATTCTCCAGGCCAGAAAACTGGAGTGGGTAGCTGTTCCCTTCTCCAGGGGATTTTCCCAACCCAGAAACCGAATCCAGGTCTCCTGAATTGCTGGCAGATTCTTTACCATCTGAGCCACCAGGAAAGCGCAAGAATACTGGAGTGGGTAGCCCATCCCTTCTCCAGGGGATCTTCCCGACCCAGTAATCAAATCGGGGTGGATTCTTTACCAGCTGAGCTAAGGGAAGCATATTTATGTAACACTCTATTTTTGGCCACATTTCACTGTACACGGGACCTTAGTTCCCT